AGCAGCTGGTGAGCTCGAATCACCAACCTTGCAGTTCAAAAGGCTTTGCAGTCTGGCACATTAACCCACAGAGCTACAGCATGACTCCTCTACTACTGGTGGTAAAAAGCAACCCAAAAGCTTCTTAGCTTGGTCGGGCCTGTGCCAGGGGGCTGAATTGGTCGTAGGTGGGCGTGCCTAGGCCTTGGGCGGGCCTGAGCCTTGGAGCCTGGGCAGAGGGCTGTCCTAGGCCGAGGCAGTGGAGGGCAGGGGTGGGGGTAGTGGCTGCAGACAGGTGGCGTCTGTGTCTGATGACGTCAAAAATGCCTCTCTCTGTACCGTGAGTACCCACAATTGCCTGATATCCATGCTAATAACACCTACTATGGCAAGGAGGGCCCCCTGAGAAGGGCTGTGCTAGCCTCTGAGGCCTTGCTCGCTCCCCTCCTCCAGAACTGCCCGCCTTCTGAACAGATTTCCTCCAGTCCCCCTTGCCTCCTACCCACCGCAGTTGCCAGAGCGGGAGCCGAGTGCAGGTGGGTGAAAGCTCAAAATTCCTGTAATTCCTCAGCAGTTTGATCTTTTAAAAAAGCAAGTTCAGAATGTTGAAGCCTAAAGTCTTCTGTTTGTTCAAAAGCTTTCTGTCTACTAGACGGGGGCCTCCCCTGTGCGATACTCCCCCCCGCTTTCTTTGGAGCCTACGTACCTGTGCTGCCTGGTCAGGGAAGCACCAGAAGTCCTCCCCTGTGCCCCTTTTTAATTGGGTTATTTGTCTTTTTCTTGTAGAGGTGTTGTAGTTTCATACATATTTTAGAAATTAGTCCTGTGTCCAAAGTGTCACTGCAAAAGATTTTTTCCCATTCTTTGGGTTCCCTTTTTACTCTTCTAGTGAAGTATTGTGATGCACATAAAATTTTAATTTTTAATATGTCTGAATCATCTATTTTGTCTACTTTTGTGTGTGTAGTTTTAAAATATTTGATAGTCTGTGTATGGCCTGTACTAAAGCCCTCACATTTGTCCCTATTGTTTCATTGATTGCCTTCATAATTCTGGTATGCACTAGGTCTTTAATCCATGCTAAACTGATTTTTCTTGGAATAAGGCTTCAGCTAAAAGTCTTGCTTCAATCTTTTGCATATCACTTTCCTGTTCTTCCAGCACCATCTGTTGAAGAGACCATCTCCTCCTCATGCAATGCACTCAGGTACTTTGCTGAAAATAAGTTGGCTGTATGTGGATGGGTTAATTTTTGGATTCTCGATTCTGTCCTATTGATCAATGTATCATTCATTGAACTAGTACCAGGCTATTTTGACCACTGTAGCCATGTAGAAAATTTTGAAATCAGGTAATGAGAGGTTTCCAACATTATTTTTCTTTCTTTTCCAAATAAAGTTGGTAATTGTTTTGTTTTTGTTTTTTCCATCTCTTTGAAGAATGTCCTTGAAATCTGGGTTGGGATTGCATTAAATGTTTAAATTGTTTTAGGCAGTATTGACATTTTCACAATGTTAAGTCTTCTTAACCAGGAGCATGGTATATTGTTCCAGTTTTGTAAATCTCTTTTGGTTTGGGTAGTAGTATTTTGTAATTGTCTTAGTATAGGTCCTTTGTTTTTCTGGTTACATTTATTCCTGATATTTCATCCTTTGGACAGTTACTGTAAGTGGTATTGCTTTCCCAATGTCCTTTGCAGTGCTGTTATTGTTACTATAGAGGAATCCCACTGATATTTTATATCTTGATCTTATATCCTGCCACATTGCTGAATATTCCAAAGATGTCTAGTAGCTTTTTTACTGAGTCTTTGAGATTTTCAATATATAGGCTCATATTGGCTGCAAATAGAGAGAGTTTTACTTCCTCTTTGCCATTTTGGATGCCCTATCCTGCTGCAATGCTCTAGCTAAGACTTCCAGCACAATATTGAATAGGAGTGGTAATGAAAGTCATCCTTGTCTGGTTTCTGTTCGCAGAAGGAAAGCTTTTAGTTTCTCTCCATCGAGAGTAATGTAGGCTGTTGGTTTTGTATGTTGTTGTTGTTGTTGTCAGGTGCCATCGAGTTGGAACCGATTCATAGCAACCCCATGCACAGCAGAACGAAACAATGTCCGATCCTGGGCCAACCTCACTACTGTTGCCACACTTGAGTCCATCGATGACGCCACCTGACCAATCCATCTCGTTAAGGGTCTTTCTCTTTTTCTCTGACCCTCCACCTTACCCAGCATGCCATCCTTCTCCAGCGACTGTTCCCTCCTGACAATATGTCCAAAGTATGAGATACGAAGCTTAGACATCTTGGCCTCTAAGGAGCACTCTGGCTGCCCTCTTCTTCCAAAACAGATCTATTGGTTCTTTTGGCAGTCCATGGCATTTTCAGTATTCTCCTCCAACACTATAACTCAAAGACATCAATTCTTCTACTATCTTTCTTATGCACTGTCCAGCTTTCACATCCATATGAGGTTATTGAAAATACCATGGCTTGGGTCAGGCGCACCTTAGTCCTCAAGCTGGCATCTCTGCTCTTCAATACTTTAAAAAGTTCCTGTGCAGCAGATTTGCCCAATGCAATATGTCGTCTGATCTCTTGACTGCTGCTTCCGCGAGTGTTGATAGTTGATCCAAGAAGAATGAAGTCCTTGACAACTTCAAGCTTTTCTCCATTGATAAGAATGTTGTTTATTGGTCCAGTGGTGAGGAATTTTGTTTTCCTGACATTGAGATGCAATCCATATTGAAGGCTGTGCTCTTTGATCTTCATCAGTAAATGTTTCAAGTTCTCCTCACTTTCAACAAGCAAGGTTGTATCATCTGCATATCGCAGGTTGTTAATGAGTCTTCCTCCAATCCTGACACCACGTTTTTCTTCATAGAACTCAGCTTCCTATTGTTGATTTCTAATTCAATAGCATTGTGATCTGAGAAGATGCTTTGTAGTATTTTGATATTTGTAAATTTATGGAGGTTTGTTTTACGGCCTAACATTTGGTCTATTCTTCATGATCCATGCACACTGGAAAAGATTGTGTACTGTGCTGTTTTGTGGTCAAATGCTTTGTACAAATCTATAAAGTCCAGGTAGCTGATTGTGTTGTATAGTTCCTCTGTGTCTTTGTCAAGTTTCTTTCTGGTTGTTCTATCCATTTTTGAAAGTGGTGTATTAAAGTCACCCACTATTATTGTGGATTCATCTATTTCTTTCTTCAAATCTATTAGGGCTTGCTTTATAAATTTTGCAGCTCTTTCATTGGGAGCATAGATATTTTTTATAGTTATGTCATCTTGTTCAATTGTCCCTTTAATCATGAGGTAATGTCCATCTTTATCTATTATGCTGGGTTTTGCCTTCAAGTTTATTTTATCACAGATTAGTATTGCCAGTCCTATTCGTTTTTGATTGCAATTAGCTTGGTATATGTTTTATCCAGCCTATGACTTTTAGTCTGGTTTTGTCTCTGTCTTTAAGGTGTGTCTCTTGCAGACAATATATTGAAGGATCTTGTTTTCTTATCCAGTCTGCAACTCTCTGTTTCTTAACTTGTGCATTTAATCTGTTTACATTCAGTATAATTATTGATAGGTATGGATTAATTGCTGCCATTATATTTTTTGTTGTTATTGTTGTTCTGCTGCTTTCCTTGTTTTGTATGTCTTCCTGTGCTTAGTTCATGTTTTTTGTTTGTTTGTTTGTTTGTTCTTTCTTGTCAGTTTCCTCATAGTTTTAATATTTCCTATGTACTTGGATATTCATTTTCTTGGTACATTGTAAAGTATTGTTTTTCCTTGAGGTTATATTATATCCCATTAACTTTTCCTTCCATTTAGTGCAATCTATTTTATACTGTAATCTACTTGGCCTTCTCAATATCTGTATCTCTGTTCCTACGTGTTTACCTTCTTTCACTTTGTAATTGTTTTGATCATAGATTCTCTGAACTTGTTCTTATAGTTTTGTTCTGTTATCAACTTTTCCATCTGTCCATTGAGTTCTGGGTCTTGCTTCCATGAATGTCAATCTCTGCTTGATCATCCTAAGAATTGTGTAGCTCCCTAGAGTTATTGTTCCTTTCATAGACTTGTCTACTCTTTGGCTGAAAACTGAGCCATTGAGTGAGTTCAGTCACAGACCTGAAGGTTTACTAAGGGGCATAGTTTCAGAGGTTCAATGAGTCTCTTTGTCACTATTAAATACACATATAAAATTATCCTCGGTCATAACTATTCCAAATGCATGTCTATTTGTAAAACCACTCATACAGCACTGTTGTTGCAAAATTGTGTATTTAATTTTATTTACTACTATTGCTTCACTTAGTGATAATTATTGTATTTTTAAATCTGTTCCTTTACATATTGAATCATGCCATATTAACAAATGAAAGTGTAAAAAAGTTAATTCATCCAAGCCATTAAGATTAATTTAATTTATTTTGAGAATATAGCTATTCCCCAGTAGTTTTTGAAATGCTTGAAACTTGAAGAGCTCATTTTTCATCATGATATCAAACAACACTCTGCTGATATTTTTTAATGTTTTCACTTATCTTTTTTTGTTTTGTTTTTAGAAGTTAGATTACAAGGTCTTTTTTCCTATTTTGTCTTAATCTTGGAGATCTGCTGAAATCTTTCCACCATAGATAACCCTACTTGTATTTGTGATATCAGTGACATAGTTTCAAGCATCATAGCATCACATGTCACCACACAATTCAAATTGGCAGTCAAGTTGTGGGAATTGCAAAAAGAAGCAAAAAAAAAAATATACACAGAAAACCAAAACGCAAGAATAAAGTATTGTAAACTATAATGCTTAGAATCCTGAATTAATAACCACATAAGTCTCCAGTTTAAGTGTAAGGGAAACCGCAGCTTCCAACAGGAAACACCTTCTCAGATTCAGATCTGTTCCTAGAACTAGTCTTTGTGTGTGCTGGGTCCTTAACACTCCTTTCAGCCTCATAACCTCCATAAAGGGTAGGTTTGTGTATAGGCTTACACTGACTTCTCTTCACTGTGTCTCTTGCACAGTAATACATGGCTGTGTCCTCAGGTTTCAGTCCAGTCATTTGCAAAAAGGCAATGTTTCTGGAATCATCTCTTGAAATGGTGAATCTGCCTTTCACAGATGCAGCATATTCTTGTGTTCCACCATTAGCTTTGTTTCTAATAAAGCTGACCCACTCCAATTTGTTTCCTGGATACTGGCGGATCCAGCTTATATAGGCGTTACTGAAGGTGAATCCAGAGCCTTCACAGGAAAGTCTCAGAGACTGTCCAGGTTGTTTCAGATCACCCCCAGACTCCACAAGTGTCACCTCACAATGTACACCTGCAAATACAGAGATTAGATGAAACACAGACAAACGCATGCACATACAACATAGTGCCTCTGATAATTACCATATAAAATGGTCAAAATGAAAGTCCAGCTCAGCCCCAAATTCATGATGTGTCCTTTGAATTAGCTCTAGAGCACAAATGGAAACAGCAGAGAGGCCAGAGACTGGGGATTCTCACCCAAAGCTCCCAGTGCAAGGGCTATGTAGCATTTATCAGCAGACACAGTGCTGCATTTGCATATCCTCCTCCATTTAAAGTCAGAGAAATGAGTATGATTCAGGGAAACACTAGCACCTTCACAGGAGAACTGAACTTGCACAAAGGCTGTTTTTCTACATGCTATAAAATATTGGTGTGCTTGTTAAAAATTACAAAATTTTGGAAGAAATAAAGTAAATTTACATTTATCAACATTATTTTAAATGTACAGCAAACTTTGTGGTATGAGAGATCATAATGCCTCCTCTTTTTTTCCTCTTCAAGATGGCAATGCATAGAAAGTCACTCCTCATGTCAGTATGATGACAGTGGACAGCTGTGGTTATCTGTTTCTTTTGTGTGAACATTATTATTTACATTTTTGCCTTCAAAGTAATTTCCCCCAATCATCAACATTGTTGAAGTTTTGGCATTAACTTGCTTATAAAATATTGTCATTTTATCCTTTTAATATCCAGTCACTGTTAAGTAATGTCTCCTTTCTAATTTCTGATATTGGAGATTCATCTCTCTTTTTTTTTTTAGTATTGATAAGGAAAACTGGATTTTTATCAATTTACTTGATCTTTTAAAATAATCAGGTTTAGTTTAATTGTCTTATTGTGTTCTTTCTATTTAATTTATGAGGAGTATAGCAGTTATATGCATTTTCTTCCTAACATATGATATAATATTCTCAGTTTATAGGTGAAAACAGAGGTAATTAATTTGAGAGCTGTCTTTCTATTTAACAGCAGTGTTTCCTGCTTTGAATTACCCACTAAATACT